GTTGGACTGCAAATATTTATCTTATGCAACATATTCATTAGAAGAATTCCTACGTCTGATTTCTTAGGTGCACGCCGTTGCAAATGTATAAAAAAACGCACAATGACAGATGACAGATGACACGAAAATTGAAGTCGCCGAGTGGATTCGAACCACCTACCTCTGAATTAACAGTCCGATACTCTAACCACTCCGCAACGGTAACAACAGATTCAAAGCAGCTTAAATGTCATTAATTTAAAACCTAGCTTCAAAAGACGCCACCAAGGGCGAGGACCGAACGTATGACGCCACGCTGACGTCACTCAAGAGGCATGCTATTGGTCGGCCGATTCGTGTAATACAATTGGCGAATACGCCGGCCGGCCGGCCGGCCGCTCATACTCAGAAATTTCCGTTAATCTAAGGAAAGACTACGCTCGCTTCGCTCGCTCCGTAATTACCCCACCCTACCCTACCTAACTGGGCTCCATTTTATTGGAGTCATTGAAATGGTCAAATTTGAAGAGGTCCGAACTTTGTATTATCTAACCATGTCTTAGACTAACTGCGATGCTGAAGCTGGGTATGGTTGATCATGACAAGGCTGTTAAGTTGGCATATCCAGCAAAACTGTCATTTGTCACTTCATTTAGGTAAAATTTTTGGTGGCGATTTTCCAAGTGATTTGCAGGCCATATGGGGTGACTTTGCCACCATGTTATCAATGCAAAAATGAAATACTTATCCGATGCAATTCAAAATAATTTTTTTAATGTAACATCATTTTGATCTCAAAACTGGTTCTTAAAAAGCGAAAGTTTATATTTTTAAAGTTAACACAGGAATGCACAGTAGGAGTATAGAAAGGCAAAAATTACCAAATTAAAAAAAAAAATGGATGAAGCTGGACCCAACTTTTCAGCACAGTCATGATCATCTACAACTCCTGAGTTTGCCAGTAATACTGGCTGAAGAAATATGTATCATTTTATAGATAAAAAAAAAAACGCTGATAATAGTGGTGCAGGTAAGTTGCCGCAAGAACGTCCTCTTTCTGTTCCTCTTAATGCCGGAGGAAGAATGCGGAAAGGTATAGAGTACCTACCGATACAATCATATTTTTGCTTATTTATCTATTTTGAACCATTTTTCAGTTTCTATTTACTATCAATGTCAATTATTTTCAACAAATATAATATATTATAATGGTAATGTATTTCTCCCTTTTTGCACATCATTAAAGAGCAAAAAAACTTCGAATTGCTTTATTTTTTTCTATTAAACAATTAAGGATGGCTGCCCTCCCCCAAACAATGGAACAAAAATGCTTAAAAATTATTTGCAAGCGCTAAAAAACCATTATTTGACATTTTGGCAATGGCAAAGTCACCCTTTTTCAGTTTAAATTTGCCAACTGCCAAGACTCATTTTCTTTGAAAATATTTAGTATTTATATCTTTAGGCAAGGTATAAATACGATAAAGCAAAACCCAAAGAGCTAATCTTCATCCGTGATTTGAACATAGAGTCATCCCAATAAGTTAACAAGTTTAAAGAATACAGGCGTCTAAAGTTGAAAACTGATGGCAAAGTCACCCCCGTTTACGGTACCTAGGGGACGTTTTCCCATTATGCTTCTTCTTGCATCCAACTATCTTCAACAACCTACCAAATCTCATTGCCTGCTACCCCCCCCCCCATGACCACAATGTATATCTCATGAGAATTCGCCTAGACCAACATTGACCTATCCAGCTGGGTGACAGATGCTCCAACGTGCAGGGTATCCACCAGCAGACCTGTCCATGTCTGCGGCCTCAGCACACCTGGCCGTACCGAATGCGGCGAAACATCCGATACCCAAATGCCAGCCAAGGCCGCAACACAGCAGACGACCATGTGTGCGACAGACAGGTGGTATGTCACAGCCGTTTTCTGCTCTGTACCGACACGATGACATTTAATTGAAGAAGCTAGTCGCGAGAAGGATTATCGCGATTTATGATGTTACTCTGACCGAAAGCTGTAACAAAACAATGCCCACAAATAGCAGATCCGGAAATCAAACACCAAACTGGTTTTTGTTTTCTGCTCATAAAAATTGTGCACAACATAAAATCACATAACCGCATGCCTTCCTTTAACACGCGCATGACTGGGGTATTTTCCATAACGCGAGTGACGGGGGGGGGGCTCTCCAGAGCCCCCCCCCCCCCGTCAGGGGATAGGAGGGGGCTCTCCAGAGCCCCCCCCCCCCTCCTATCTCCGAAACTACAAGGCCGATCGTCAAAATTCAAACGGCGTCTGATAGCCCTGGAAAAACTGTCGAACGAAACTTATTTTCATTGACCTCGAGGTCACCGATGACGTCACAGGTCAGGTCAAAGTAAAAGTTATCGGCATTTTCGCTTGTTCACAATTTAAGCTCTGACCGCCGGCTGACAAGTCCGATCAGGCTCATTTTTGGTTTACGCACTTCTTGATATATGTCCTAGATACCCTGAGGGTACCGAACTTTTACTTTGAATTTTTCAGGTCAAGGCCAGGTCATCCTAGGTCACGAAAATTGTATATTATGTATCGGCCACGAGACGCATGTTTTATGGTCCATTTTACTCGTAGATTTCGAAAACAATGTCGTCTGTGTCATTTGAGGTCATTTTCAGCTGAATTTACCGGAGGTCAGGTCACTTTCAGGTCAGAAAAGGTCAAATTTTGAAAATGAAATTTTTCAGCAAAAGAGGTGCCTATCAGATGCAGTTTGAGCTCAGAAACACGATGGTGCCATTTATATTGCTGTTCAATGTCAAAAACGTACTGAAAAATGGTTATGAAAAATATATAATTGTTAAATTTTGACAATAATGCAAATAACTTAGCTATTTTTAAAGATATTGGGCTAAAAATTGCTAGAGTAGTTCATCAGTGTGTGTTCTATCACATATATTCCTCAAAAACTTTTTGAAAAAATAAAAAATAGCTTTTTGGAATCGTAAATATATATTTTTCAATATTTTCAAAATTTCGAGAATTCGAGATAGCAGTTTGATAGCTACGTGTATTTGTAGTCCACTCATGCAAAGAAATTTGAGCTAGCTTTAAAACTGAGCTCTTGAGAGCATTTGCCGTAATTCAATATTTTGCATCAAAATCGGCCGACATGACTTCACTCTGACGTCATTTTCGGTCAAACTATAGTAGCTAGAAAGTTGAAATTTTTCCACAAGGTGTCAAATTGATGCCTCTGAGGGTGCTGCAAGTTTCGTGTTGATCCGTCAAACGGTTTAGAAGATATTGCCGAAAAACGGGAGGGGGCTCTGTAGAGCCCCCCCCCCCCCAGTCATGCGCGGGTTAAATAGCTCGTAGGTTTGTCCGAGAAAAACCATGCAATGGGCATAAGAACAAAAGGGCACATAATAGAGAAAGGGCATAATAACATAATGCAGCCTTTCAGCATTTCGAATTTAATGAGTGCTTCAATTAAGAAGACATTTGGTAAGCTGTTTTTTTTTTTGTATCCACAAAAAGAATATCGGTAACTAGGTATATTCAACACAGACTATTTAAAAGAGTTAAACAATTCACTGCAGCTAAGCTGTCGCACACCTCTATTACGCACCAGCCTGGATCCCTGACACTGAAATGGCGTCAGCACTGGACGAACGCTGCGTCGCAGCTCAATCCGTCTCTGAGTTACGCTAATCCTAATGGCGCGCTGGCAGAACAATATATTACGCGGAGCAGCCGCCTATCTTTATCACCAGCCGCGAAACGCAGCGGCGCCCAAAGACAGCCACACTGATGACAAGGCTGCTATCTCTGAGATCATCTCCGAAACCGGATACCCTCTGGCCTTATTTTTAAAAGAATTTCTTCTCCAACTATTGGCAGCCAGCGAAGTATATATTCCTGAGATGCGTTATCCCGTAATTCAACGTTTTTAGAAGGAATTTCGTCTCTTTGTCTTGGGGACATGCTGTTCCATTATTCAGTTTTTTGAACGGTATATGCTTCACCTCTTGAGCAAACCACGGAGATACACTTTTGCATTATTCAGTCCCCTTTCGTCCAGCATTTCATCATTGCGAATAGGGCTATAAGGTCTGCAAAACACGCGTAGTAGGAATGAACTCCTTGCAGCGATGAAAGCCGACGAATAAAATGAGACAGGACCAGTCTCATCACTCATCATGCTCTCTACGCCCGCCGTTCGCCGGGCCGACCCAGCCACCACCATCCGAGCCCCGCCGTCACCGTGCACGCGCAGGAATGGTACGAACGCCGGCCGCACGCGCCTACAACAGGTTCGATTCGGAAGCCACACACGAGCCGGGTCCATTTGGCCAGTGTGATCGCCCGCCGCGCGGTCCAGCATGCACAATCGGCAGCACGCGCTGTCTTCGGCTCCCCTGGACGATAATAAATCACTGAGCTGACCGGCGGTAATCCGCGGACAGTGGGCGCCGCGCTGCCCGGCCACCGACAGATAAGCGCCGCGGCACGAGCCGGCCGGCGCGAGCGGGCACGCGATGCGGTACAAGGGGTACGCGGTACACGGTACACACACGGGGTACACACACGGGGTACGCGGTGCACACGGGGCTCAGAAGAACAGTGTGAGAAGGACGCGTTCGGCTTAAGCTAAGAACGACGAAGCCTCGAAGCAGACATGGTGACACCGAGACGGTCGACACTTTTGGCCTTTGTAGCCGATGTCACAGAAATGCCGAATTTCCGGGTATATACCAAACCAGCATCAACTTAGTTTTATCACGGCTCTTCGAAGCTTCGAAATTGACGTCACTAACAACAAGCCTGTGTAGATGCAGATGAGTATAGTCAAAGATGCTTCAGCGCATTAGAACGAAGCCAAAGTTGATTCTGCTAAAAATATCGTTCATTTTGACGAAAGAAAAGGAAAAAATTGATAAGGATTAATAAAGCAAATCTATACACATTGTCATTCATGCTACTTTCACCTTGTTACTATGTTGTTGTTACTATGTTACTATGTTCGTCATTTCATCACAGCATGTCCATTGTTTTTACCTCAAAGACGCATCCTTTACCAAAAAGTATCGCAAACACTCCATACTAACTTTCATGAATACCAAACTAATAAAAAATTGGAAATCCTTCTTCATGGCACCAACCTAAATAGTGGCGACGGCCGGGCGGTGGCTCAACACTTCCAAACGTTCTTACTTAATTCTGGGCGCTTTACAATCCCAACACTCTGACTACTTAATTACGAGGCGGGATGGGCGTGTCTCGGTGGGGTGGCGTCGGCAACGGGGCTCTCTGGACAACCTGTAATGCGCGACGCGTTCGGCTTGGTGGCGGCGACCGGCGATTTAGTTTGTTTGAATCCATTTTAAGTTCTTGTATATGTGTGTATGTGTTTATTTGCTTGTATGTTCTTTAACAGAGCTGGTGCCTCGAATTAAGCACTTTCGAGTGCTTTTGCACCAGTTCTTACTTATCTTGATTTTGTGTATTCTTTTGTTTCTTAATAAACGTGATGATGATGATGATGATGACGTGGATGTTGCTAAATTAACAAATATGAAGTAGCTGTCGATCTTGCCAGGTTGCATTCACGGGGATAATTAACTGGAGGGATTTTCATTTTCATTCAAAACGGACCCGTCCGAGAATTTCTGGCTGTCTGATAGCGCCAGCGCATCGCCGCCGGTCGTTCAGATTGGTAGGTTGGTCCTCCAGCCCTCCATATATCTCATCCCAAACCACTACCGGACATCATTGAGAGAGACATGCCGCGATCGAGTGCGGTCTTCAGCACCGTCCGGTCTGTACCGCGGTCGGGCCGTGGCCGGGCGTCCACCGGACGGTCCAATCTGCCGTTTGATCCGCCATCCCACTTCTAGCGGAAGGCGGTCCCGGCCTCGGCGAGGGCGGAGTCTTCGGACCGCGGACCGGCCTGGAACCGGCCCGTCTCTCCTCTGCTGCCGCCGGCACCGGGTCAGCGGGACACCGGCGGCGCCGACAGCGGCGGCAGTGACGTCCGGCGGCCCCCGGTGTTCAGAGGGGCACTCACAGCCGACCCGCAGTCACCAGGGGCGCCACTCACTCGCCGCTCGAGCTGCCAGACGCCCGGCTGGTACGGCGAGCAGGGTGTACAGCAAGGGTGGATCTTTTCCCCCACGACAATCACACGCCGAGAAGTGCTAGCGAACAGTGTCGGACCGCGCGAGTGGATAGGCGGAGGGGTTGAGAAGCTGAAGCCACATACAGGTGCGCAGAGTTCCGCTCAGGCGTGTAGTGAACAGCGGTGCCAACTGACCGATTACTGCCAAGGACTGTCTGAGCTCACGCAATTGCTGAGGGTCATCTGATCAACTAGGAGGCACTGATGACTGCCTGAGCGACTCAAGCTCGAGTCACCAGCCTGAGAGCCGACCTACGTCCAATTCTACAGCGTGGACGGCCTCGGCCAGTGCTATTCGCTGTGTGTAAGTGCGTGAGTAGATTGGGTGATATCCTACTGCTGGCTGCAACACCTACGACATAGGCCCTCGGGGTCCGAAAATATCCTACGAGTGACGAAAAACGACAAACAACCCACAACAAACGACGAGCAGCAAACGACAAACGACAAACGCGTGACGATGGACTTACGGACTGTGCAACGATTAATGGTGGTAAGTAGCTATGAAAAAATACGATCGACGTTTGCACCAAACAGAAACCGTGCAGAAACCGACCTTGACGGCCATCAACCGAATATAATGCAATAAAGTTTGTGCCTGAACATCAGAGTTTTTTTCTTTGATGGAACACATGAAAGTTCGAGTAATACTGTGCTGCGAAATCACACGTGCATATCCATTATCCATGTTGATTGAAATAAAGTGAAAACTATTATCAATTATCGCGCATTATATCGCATTTCGCGTCGCTAACCCGTTAACAGTCGTAAAATGAAAAACAAACATAATGGATAACACCGAAAAACAAAACACGGAAGCTGATGCAATAACGGGCCATAAAACTGCAAGAAGTCGGACTAAAACCTAAGCCAACAAAATGCACGGCAAGTTGAGAGGTTGAGTATCTTATGACCTCTTCGAGCGAATCAGTAGCGGCGGAACACCTTCAATTAAGGGGGGGGGGGGCACTGTCGACTTTTGGTCCCATTCTTTCCATGCAACGCCCATAGGGCTTGTGTTAAAATGCCAAAATCAAAGGGGGCACGGTGCCCCGGTGCCCTCCCCGTCCCGCCGCCTATGGAGCGAATCGAAATCTACCCATTCGCAATTCATAACAAATTCACAATATATCAAAGATTGACTGCTCACGAGCAATACAACAGTGATGGTTTCTCCTACTGCTTACTTATTCGGCCACGGCAATGAACACGATTTTATCTTAGGCTCATTGTACTGCTTCGAGCCGGCTTCCCGGCCCTAGACAGTCGCTGGCCAGAATCCGGCAAAGGCAACGTGAGCTGACAGACAGCCGGACAGAAAGACAGGCAGACAGGCCCCACACCAGCCTATCTCGCCTTTAGCGGTCTCCCATTCGGCCCTGCCCGGCGTCTCGAGGCACGGCTCAACGGATGATATTCTACACAAAGAGTGGCCCGAGTGACACATGGGCACCTCTCGGCGAGGCGAAACTTCACGTGTTTCAGCATCTCTGAAGTCTGAACGGAGGTCACGAGAGACACTGCCGACACGATCTGTCGGGTTTATTAACAGTGACACTTGACGAAGCGCAGCAGTGGAACAGGACCGCTATGAGCGGTTTAGCAGCCAGCCCGGCAACGAGTTGGCGTCACCAGCAACAGAATAATCACAAAGTGGAGTGTTGTGCTCAGTTCCACCTGCTTGCAGCCGCTCCCAAACTCCAGCTACTGCCGGTTTCATAGCACTGTAACTTTCAAAGACAGGCAGCCAGGCGCACCAAAGCTGCTAAGAAGCCGGCACCTTGCTACGCTGAGCAGCGCTTTGAGATATTTTTCTCACTTTGACCAAAAGTAAGTACCAAGAGCATCTGACGGCATGTGTAAATCCACCCTGGTAGCACGCAACAAATGCCGCTGCAAAAAGGGCATACCTATTTAAGTGCAAATCCATGTCCATGGTACTCAGCTAGAAAAAGGAATTTACCGGCAAACTAGCATTGACATTATACACTTACGCAAATAAAGCAATGTTAGGAGAAGCATGCCCATATTTTATTTAGGTGTTTATGTACCTGAAAGCATACATACGCATGGATGGGTCAGATAAAATTAATCCGATATCCCACCCCATGGATCTCAAACTTCGATCATATTGGTTGATAGGTCAATACAATATCCATCATAAGATGATTTGTTGATATGCCTCACGACAGCACACAGCTGACTTACAACAATTCGTCCCTTGAAACTAAAGGGAATCCCTCTTTTGCCTTTTTGCCGGTTGTATCCTCACCCACAAAGCAGCCGCAAAAAAAAATGGGGACTGTAGGTATATTCACCGTAAAAGTATGGATTATGCGGCAGAAACATCTGCCGGGCATTGTCGAACAGGTTTCATTGCTGTAACATGGTACAATTGAAAAACGTTTCACAGGCAAAGCAGGTGGGACTGTCGTGCTTTTTATATCCGAACAGAAAGACGGGTCGGGTCGTGCGTGGCGGGTCGTGCGGGCCGGCGCTGTTATCGGCGGTGGCTTGGTTCGGTTAGGTGCCTAGACATTGCCCAGACACATGGGATGTGCACCAATCCCAGGACGTTTGTTATGCCATATATGTTGTATGTATGTGAAATACAGATGAGATGAGATGAGAAAGACGGTGGCCTTTGTGTTTACTCGTAAATACTTATCGACACAATTTTCAGTGTTGAACGCTGCCTAGTTCGGCAGGCTAGGACAATTACACGGCGGTTTATTGATGTCGAAGCTACAATAATTGTCGGCGTCCGATAGACTAGATAAGTACACGAAATTTATCCTAAGAGCACGCAACTTATTCTAAGCGCACGCAACTTATTCTTTTCCTGCCACATTTCAGACGCTTCTTCTACTCCTGGCTGTTCCTCCGACGGCCTACGGACAGCGTACCCTGCTGGCGCGATTCTTCAACCGGGTCTACAGCATGTTCTCCAACCTGATTGGCGGCGAGCGGCTGTGTCCGGCCGGCGGAGGGCTGATTGACCTGGCCACACTGATCCCGTGCGGGGCCGAGCTGGCGGACTGTCCAGCCAACCTGGCCTGCCAGAGGGTCACAACACTCTGCAGGAACACCCTCATCGAGGTCACGGTCAGTATAACTCGATATCCGCAGTGTATGTCACCTCGGCAGGGTGGCAAGTCTTGTGACCCTTGTATAATCGGCTGGATCATTACGCGTTGACTCATTTATCGCCCGTCGTTGCACCTGACCCGAACTCGGCCACTATCGGCTGAGATAGGCGGCCGCTGCTGGGAGATAAAGACGGCCTGTTTCACAGCTCTCTAGTCTCTGGTCGCGTTGGCGGAGAAAGATAAGAAATATCGGGTCAGTGCCGATATGTCACTTGACAGCGACCGTCCCGAGAAAACGCTTCTGGTGCCAATGCAAACAAAACGTTGATGCCAATGAACAATAAAGACTCAAACATGCTGTCGTTAACAAATGCAACTGTTGAACTCTCCCTCGCTGTATCGCATTCCGTATAGCCCTCCCTTACATCAACTCACTCATGCTTCGTTTTCTTTATACTGCGTACCTTACATAATTTCCTTATGTGTTGTGCCCCTGACATCCATCCTCCGTGCCATGTCCCCGAGCGCCCTTCCTGTATGTATTGCAGTTCAGACCTCCCCTTCACCATACATTATTGCCAACAATCTTCACATCCGTCGCTCGTCTCTGACCTCCCTCATCACAAACTGCGTCTGACCGCCCTTCCTCTCTCCCTGCCCACAGACGTCCGTGTGTATGCCCGTCCGTCGACGCGGTCTCCGGTGCGACACCCATAGTGAGTGTGCCACCGGCTACTGCCAGCCCGGCACCGGCACGTGTGAGTTCCAGTCCTGCCGGCCGGGCGAGCTCTCCGTGCGGCTCGACAGCAGTTGCTACCGCTTCCAGATGGACACCGGACTGAGCTCGTACGCCGCCGCGCGCCGCCAGTGCCGCTCCAGCGAGCGGGGGCTCGGAAGGCTCGTGAGCATCAACAGCGCCGCCGAACAGGAGGCCGTGCGCTGGCTGCTGGCGCGCGCTCTGGTCACCGGCATAGCTAGCCGGCCCGTCTACCTGGGCCTGTCGGACGCGCGCCGCGAGGGCCGCTTCGAGTGGCAGGACGGCTCGCCGCTGCTCTTCTCGGCGTGGCGAGGAGGAACGCCCGTCACGGCCGGTAACACCGCTGACCGCGACTGTGCCGCCATGGACCCCACAGACGGCACATGGGCGGCCACCGACTGCGCCGCCTCGCGCGCCGCTGTCTGTGTTACCCCGCTCGATCGGGTCTCTCGGCTGGCCTCTAGTGACGCGTTCAACGCCGCGCTGAACGGCCTCCTGCCCAGTGACTTCCTGGGCAACGGGTTTACCCTGTGATCGCCAGCGAAGGACGATAGACAAGGGTTCACTCTGTAACTCTTCGATCTAGGGCGATGAACAATGGGTTTTCCGTGTGATCGCCGACGAAAGGACAGCAGATAAAGGGTTCAGTGTCTCGCCGATGTGGAACAATGGACAACGTGTTGCCGCTGTGTCGGACGGCGGTAGACAGTGGGTGGTATTGTAGCTTGCGGTGTGCAAAGGACATAGACCGACGTCCGACGAAAGGCCGTGGATGTAAGCGGTGGCGCCACCTGTGTCAGGCCACGGCCAAGACGGACAAACGCGCTGGTCATCGTTCGTGCCAGTAATTGGGACCTGATACGGGTCGGTACGGCTGGAGACCCACATATATGAGGCGAGCTTTGCTGAGTGAGATTATAGAGTAGATCATGGTAAAACCGCATGATGATGTGTCATGACAGAACAGCATTTGCGCGTCGCAAGCTCAAATGAGATTGATTATACTTAATGACTGCAGCAACTTCCGCTGATCAGCGCTCCTCTTATTGGAATTAGTTCACTTAGCTAAGGCATTGTCCGTAACGTACGGCTTTCGTCTTACAGCATGACGTTTCCCACCCCGTAAAATATCGTCGCTCGACTGGTATAACGTCATACAACCGGTGCACATGTGTGCTCTCCGGACAGACATGTGCTGCTATTGTGAGTCGTATGACAGCCCGCCCACGTACTCCCCCCCCCCCCCTCTTCCCCGCACCACATCGACGCGAGACACTAAGGTCACAGGTGGCACCGAGTTACTGTCTGGCCCCAGGAGGAACTGCTATATCTGTACTTACAATACGGTGCCATTTGGGAATGCACCAAAAGAAATATGGAAATATGGATGGGTGGTAAATGTTCACACTTGACCGCGATGCGGACTGGTCACGTCCAAGATGCCAACAGACGCTCAAAACTTGTCCGGGGAAAGTTGGTAAACGGGTTATTTCCGTATCGGCCGGGTGAACTTTAGGCGCACGGACTTCGCTGCCAGTGAAGACTGTTGAATGTGTTCAGAGACCCATTAGTCGCTCTAGTTGAACGCCTAGGGTCTGTATTGTATAGGAAGTGTGGTTAAATGTTTAATTTAAGATATTGTATATGCTAAACGGTATGTCAGATATTATCCGTGAGTGTTGTTATACTCCACTTCGCTGCCCCAAGGTAGGCACATCATTCACACCTCCATAAATAACGCGGTTTCGCAGAGGCCAACCGCCCCTCACTCACGTGTGCTTTAGATTACCGCCGTGTAGCCTGAAGCGCTGGTATCTGCTGGAGCTGCCACACCGGTAGAGCCTCTCTGAACCGTTCGTGTCCGGTTACAGACACCGCTCACAGAGCCGAGAGTGACAACCCGGCCCGCCAGCCAGCGCTGCGAGAGGCGATTTACAGAATGATGGTCCGACCTGTCATTGTGGCGTGTGTGAGCGGCGCAGAGGAGAATCGTTCGTCAGTGAGATATGGACTGCTGTTTCCGAAAATAGAGCCGAGCCGTCACCGACTTGTCATGTTTCCACTGGTCTGAACGGAAGAGATGATGGATGAGCAACAACGTGTGAGAGGTGTGTAATGTGTATGCCAGAGAAGGCAATGGACAGAAAATCACACCCGACCAAGTGATTACCAAAACGACAGCTCGTTCAGTGCTACACAATAAAAGCATCTGAACAAAAATAAATACGTTGTCTCCAGCTTAACATGCATTTTCTCAATCAGTCACTTACAAAAGCAATATCGAACACATTGTCACCGAGTCTTATGGAACATAACAGATGTTAGCGGCTGGACAGGGACGGCAAACATGACACCACTACGGCAGACAATATGATTATCCAACATCCAAGGCTGTCTGTCTTCGATAAACACTCTCGATAAGTCTGGTCGTACTCCGGTACTTGCTTGTCATTGTGAACCGTTATTTATCCAGCCTGCACTTACAAACACAAACGCTTGTCTCTGGAGCTGACCAAAAGCTTATGGACGTTTCCAGTGAACAGTATTTAATCGCCAAAAGCGGATGCCCCCTGACCTACCGGACCTGTAATTGACATGATGAATGATGGAACAGCGATGCACACGCCATCTAGGAATCATAGGTCCGGCTCAAAATGAATGATGGTTGTGAGCTTCTGTGAAAGCTACGACGGAGGCCCGTCAGCTAGCACTGATGTAACCTTTCCAGCTTGCTTTCAATGTTGCTCACTCAGTTTTCCATAATTTATATGGGAACAGACATGTCTTGGCGCAAAATTTACCACTGAGTTTACGCTGCAGCCAAGTAGCACATTATGCTCGTTAGGCAAATGCATGTGACGCTCAACAATCACGAAAATGTTCGATCAAAACCTTTAGAGCCTGTCACCATCAATTCATCCATTATACCAACAGCAAATATGCTCACCAGTTCTGTAGCTAAGTTGAGACAGCGAGACTGCAGCGACTGTTGACTATCCCCATCTCCCCAGTCCAGACCAGCCCGGCCCACAGCGTCCACCATCACAGTACTCACCGATCACATATTCGAGGATCAGGTTCCAGCCGATCACAAACGCCACGAACTCGCCCACACATACGTAGCTGTAGACGTAGGCAGAGCCGGCCTTGGGTACGCGGGCGGCAAACTCTGCGTAACACAGCGCTGAAATAGAGAGGAGCGCGTCAGGAGAGGGAGGGTGCCACAGGGGAGGGGGAGAGAACAGCACGGGATATCGGGGAGATTAGGGAGACTGTATACACGACACGGAACATCGGAAAACGAACGGATGGCGGGGATACACTGAAGGGGATGGGCAGGAGCAACGGAACAATATGTCGTCGATAGGTGGTTAATACGATCGAAATAAGACGACCACGACGATGGCGTTGTGTGGCAGTGCTGAAGTTGGCATAAGTAAATTTGAGCTAACCAATTTATGCTTTGAACCAATCGTTTGTTTTATTTTCGGCGGACAAACGTATGTCGATGAGACTACAAATCCAGCAGGAACAGGTGAGAATGCCACCTGTTTCTGCTTTTACAGACACTGTTTCTGTAGCTGGCGGTGCGGTTTGTGTAAGCTGGGTTGCTGTTTCATGTAAAAAAGTGTTTCGAGTTTCAACACATCCCAGAGGCTCAGTAAGCCATCAAAGCTCAAAAGGTCATCCACAGACCCTGCCCCAGTATCACCCTCCTCTCCGCTGCCTGGTCAGCTGATCACTGATAGTGACGTCACAGAGGGGCCTATCGGCCGCCGGGGCCGCCCAGCCACCTGTGGTGAGACAGCGGGGGCCTATCTGAGCCGAGAGAGGGAGCGGCCGTCGCCCACCTCCCGGTCGAGTCACGGGACCTCGCGAGGTACTAAAATCAGCGCCTCTCTGCACTACAGCGGACAACGTTTAGATATATGACCTCAGACACACAGTCTCGGGTCAGGACCGCCCGGCACTACTATGAACGTCAAACCCCTTGAGACCCCACTTTTTTGCGATAATTTTTAAATGCGTCAACTCTCGTTGACAATATTCTGGCAATGTGTGTTTTAGAACCTGCCGAAACTTTTATTATAGTTCGTTTTTCTTAAGTTTGCCCCTCACTGTAAACGTCTTTTTGAACACAGCACGAGAATTGCTAGCTGAATTACTTAGAAAACTGGTTGGCGCACATTGATTTGACCAGATTTGACAGACGATCAATTTGATCAAATTTATTTACTATTTCACAGACTCGTAGCTTGTATTTGCCAATACCTACAGCCCCACAGGGATAGACGACTTCTCAGGAATTATGTCTGAACTAATAAATAAATTGCACGGCGCGTAACATAACGTTAAATCGTCGGTGTTCAAAACTTATTTTGAAAATATTATTCATATCTACAATACAATGTGCGCCAACCAGTTTTCTCAGTAATTCAGCTAGCAATTCTCGTGCTGTGTTAAAAAAGACGTTTACAGTGAGGGGCAAACTTAAGAAAAACGAACTATAATAAGGTATTTTGACGCCAAACGATTATGAAAGGTAGGTACTTCTCATTCACTCGTAATGTTAAATTTCACGGAACGAATCTGCTGTTTGGGTAGAGGCTACGCGCTCATGGGGCGGAGCCACGCAATGACGTCAGCGCTAGGCTCCGCCCTACCCCTCCGGCGCTCCTTGCCCGGCGACCGGTCACTCGCGTCTCTCGCTCCATTCAGGCTTGATGGTGGGTGGTAGCTGGTAGTGGTAGCGGGCGCTGGTAGATGGCATTTAGAGCAGATGGCGCTGGTGGCGGGGCTCGAGTGTGGCCGAGCGCAAGCCTCTGCCCGGGCCTGAATTGACCTTAGCATTACGAGTGAATGAGAAGTACCTTCCATAATCGTTTGGCGTCAAAATACCTTAGTAATAAAAGTTTCGGCAGGTTCTGAAACATACATTGCCAGAATATTGTCAACGAAAGTTGACGCATTTAAAAATTATCGCAAAAAAGTGGGGTCTCAAGGGGTTTGACGTTCATAGTAGATACATGTTAAGTGTTAACGCACCCCAGCCAAGTCACGTGGGACCTCGGTATCGTCGGAAGCGGTACTAAAATCAGCGCCCCTCTGCACTAACTCGGACAACGTTTGACATATGACCTAACACACATAGGCTGAGATCAGGACAGCCCGGCACTAGATAGGTAGGTACACGTTTTGCTTTACGAGCCCTCGCCGAGTCACGCGATCTTGCAGTGTGCACTGCACGGCACTAACATCAACATTACCAATTCTACTGTGAAGTATGCCCTCGTGCCGGGGACCTTGCAAACTCACAGAGGACTACCACGCCTAAGAACAGACCCATCACATAAGCCAAATCACATGCTTGGAGCGGCTAAGACAGAAGAGGAGGGTGGGGCGGGGGAGGGGGAAGTGAGATATCATCACGTGCCCGAACGATATCAGACAAACTTACGCACGACCACCCACTCTGTGCGTGTTTTGCTCCGAGTCGACATCGATAACACGATTATACTGCATATGTTCTTAAAACCTCTCTCGGTGTTCCATCACCAGAATAGCAGAGGTATGGCCTCCCAGCAGGCCCGGTGAAGTTCCTCCTCAGCGTTACCACCTGGGTGTGCCACTGACCGCTCGCCGGCCACGCAGTGCCCCAGTCCCACCCAGTAGGTCGGGGCTGAACACAAACAGTAAATCGGGGAGCATCACACGGTTATCAGTCGGGGCTCGATATTCTGGCGACACCCCCGGCTGCTCGACACAGCGAATGTGGTTTGTCGATGTGAACAAGTGTTCACATCGCTATAAATTCCTACAGGTGTTGCGACTGCCGCGCACCGCTGAAGTGAAAATACGAGATATTGGACGTGATTTTCAACGAGATATTCAAGAGACACTTTGACACTTTCGGCACTTACCTTCTTACCGCATTTGGTTACGTAAATGTATATAATTAAACCGGTGCTGGTAAATACGTATCCGAATAGACAAATCCTGGGGAGGTAAATAGACGATAAACCGAAATGCGTAAAAACCATTTCGCATATAATGTCCGTTTCATGTATCTGGACTTCAACTAGTACTGACAAATCCTATTTACGCCATTTATAAGGTAAGGTTCAAGACCCAATGCCGCAAATAGGAAAGCAGAGCACCTTCGAAATGCTGCTGGAGTGTGCTGCTCTAAGATCAATCATCCCACTTATCTTTTTCACCCCGTGAGGAGCCATGGAAGTCTCTCCTCCCACTCAGCTTTCGATGGCAATCTTATCGGCCTTTGTCATAAAACCCTATCCCCCCGGCACCTTTGCCAATCGCAGCTCTTCACGCCCGTCCTTGACCAGTCAGCGACTGCGACAGCTGTACGGGGTTGGCAACAACCGACACATTCGAGTAGGTACCCGTTTTAGAGCTACATCTACATACAGCTGACGCAAGAATCTAACGGTTAAACAGGCTTATGAAGAAAAGAAATGGCACAACAGCCTAGCACGTACTCGTCTGGCTTCTGATCGTTTCGGGCCAGCCTTTCCTTCCCCGCTGCTCCTTCACATACCCCCCCCTTACAAACTTACCACGAACAGGGAGGCGTGGCGACCACAGTCAGTAAGCTCATATACCCCCCCCCCCCCCCCCCAGCCCCTACACTTACCGGCAAACAGTGAGGCGATGGCAGCCACGAGGAACGAGATCACCACGGCCGGGCCGGCCTCAGTTTTCGCCACATCGCCGGCCAGTACGTAGATACCCAGTCCGAGTGTCGATCCGACCGCCAGACAGCACAGGTCTACCAGGCCGAGCACGCGCGCCAGCGAGGTGTCGGCCATGTGGTCCTCCTCCACGGCCTTGCGACGCATCAGCGTCGACATCAGGCCCCCGGAGGCCATGACGGCAGCCGGGCGGACGAGCGGCGGCGGGCGGCGGACGGAGCGGGGTAGACTGACACCTCAGCGGCAACACAGAGCGACTGCGGCCGCCCGCCGGACCGCCGCCGGGCCGATCATAGATAACCGCCGACAATCAGAGGGCAGAGGCGGGCGACGACCACCTGTCGGGGACGGACGGGCACGGCGCTGGTCACAGAAGGGCGCAGTACGGGACACGGTGTAATCGAGAGCATTGGAGTAATCGTGTCGCTTTGTTTTAACCCTCGCAATAAATTAGTTTCTTTTTAAAATATTGAGAAGGCATCGATTGAGCATTCCCTCATTTTCCTTCTAAAGATAAAAAAGATAAAGATATCTAAAGAGTATCTCGCGTAACCGGAAAGCCGATAAACTTTCAATGTCCTCCAGGCTATCAATTTACACGTCCTTCCCTGCAAATTGCATGACACTACATAGATCGAATGGCCTTACCCGGCACACCTACTGGGACTGGGGAGGAGGGGGGGGGGGCAATTATCCGTCTCCTTAGGGGTTTCGCTTTAGTGGAAAACCCGCAGCGCGCGGTGCCACAAAATTTGACAGGACTTTACCCTCACCAATTTTGCACTTCGTGTGCAAGTTATGATCTCGTAGGTATATTCAAAGATCAATTCACCAGGCCACTTTGAATGACCCAACCTCAACTCACTTTTTGCAACTTTGTCACTGTCAGAGCCACAGTAGAGGATCAAGCTCTTTGAAAGTTGTAATAAGTTGTAATAAAAGATGTAATAAGGCTATAAGGGTAGGTACCTAAAAGTTGTTTATTATATCTCAGAGTTTTCCTATCAAATGGCCAAAGGTCAGGTCAATTTCTTGACCTCTTCCTTGTAAGTCAATGGGGGGGGGGGAATCAGATGCCTTGTTTTTTAGTCCATTGAAACCTGACCTAGCCTAACCCAACCTTATCAAACCTAACCAAACTTTGGGGAAAATCGCCCCTAGCCCCTGGGCTCAAAATTGAATAAAAACCACACCATGTTGTCACAAACCATATGTCTAGAAAACTGTCCAGCATACCATCACTTACCTCTAAAAAAGGTAAATTATCAGCAGAAATGCCAAAAGCTAACCAAACCTTATGAAGCCTTATATCAAATATTACCCACCTACTACCACACTGGTTGAGTACAACTTATAAGTGTTTGCGTATTAGTACTTATCAATGCATTGTGTCATTTTTTCAAGCTGAAAGGATGTGTTTTTCCTTAACTTTTATCTTTAGAATTCCTGCGACCTGCAGTTCTGAGAGGGTGCTAAAGGCTTGCAAAGCCCAAACCTAATCAGACCTTCAGTAGTTACAGTGGCCAAGTCATCAAATACCTACATTGTCAAACTACCTTTGCACTAGTTGCCTGTTGCCTTATTATTCAAAAGCTGGTTGCATGTAAACATAAACAAGTTGCAGTAGACAGTAGAACTCTTTACTCTACACATCTTTGTTTTAAAAATACTGTAAAAATACTGTGCTTTCATGTACTTCAACTACAAAGTGTTATTTAACCCAGGCAGCAAATTTGGTCTGAACGATAGCTGGTTTTACTCTGGCTAGCTCCGGCATTTGCTCCAGCCAAAGTACGGGCAAGGTCTGGGGCTCTACTGGAGGCTGGAGCTGACATATGATCCTAGTCCAGAGCTTACCCACACCACAGCCGGATTCTGGATTTAAGCCACATCAACTGTGCCATACCTCAACCGTACTTCAGCCACAGTAATCCCGAGCAGCTACGAGGCAGCCAAATCTGACCATAGGGAGCCGGACTTGAGCTGTGGCAGGGAGCCGCAATTGAGCCAGACTTGGCAGTACGAGACCATACCAGATCGGGAGTGCTACAGCAAAGGCTGGCTAACCAGAATAGAGCCATATCAACCCAAACCCCGGCTCTGACAGGGTTCCCTAAACACTGGCCAGTCTAGCATTTCAGAGTTGCCGGGGCAAAACAGACTTGAGCCAAACCAAATTGCTGGCTGGGCATAAAGTCCCTACCTATATAAATAAAGCCTTATTTTACAAGTCAACCAGAAAAATGGGGTGATAGTAGCACTTTCAGCCCAGTATTCCATCAAAAAGGTCATCTAATTCAAAAGGCTGGGAGCTCGTCAAGTGAGAATCGACCAGGCCTATCGTATCAGGTATCAGGTAAGTAATTGCAAAACAATGGTAAGATCATTTTGGCTTAACATAATGGTGCCTATATATAACTGGGAGATTGCCCGGTATTTCCGTCCATATGGCGAAAAATAAGAGCCCGCAATGGTGCTCAATGCACTTACCACTGCTAGAGAATCATGGTAGCAAAAACTGCATTGATGCTGATTTAGCACTATTCTATCACATTAATGACTGACCACTTCCCACCAGAAATAATTAATTACCTGAGAAAATAGGAAAACATCCACAACACCCGACGGCGCGGCCCGATGAATATCAAAACATTCTTCAAGGTCAACCTAACATCAGCACCATTGTGTTCGACAGACAGCAGTTGCCTAGCGACATGTTTGAAAAGACACTCTTTCTAGCCAATTGCTAGGCAATGTGCGACTTTTTGCAGCGTGATTAAAAAACTGAACACAAAATTTGGTAAAGCTGTGACGGCATTTACAACGCTTTTGTCACAATCAATTTATGGAAGAAGCTAGCAAATTAGTTACGTTGTCTTTACTTGCTGCAGCATGTGACTTTCTTTGATAGCAACGGCTAAAAACTGGTATGGGTCCTCTGTGACCGGCAATGTTTGTTTCAGCGTTTGCCGTTATTCATTCTAACTTACTCTTTTTATGAATACTTTCATTTTTTGGCCGTAAACGTTAAAATAGCCTAACAGACGTTTGCCCTTAAAAACTGCTCATAGATGGCAGCAGCAGTAGGCGCCTGCAGTTATGCTGTACCGCATGGCACACATACCGTATAGGCCTTGGCAGTTGGCACTTTGCATAATATGCCAAGTGGCATATCCCGTGTTTTTATATGCCTTCGCCCAAATGACGTAACGATCATGCAAGTAGTTAATCTCCCCCTCCCGTTCGTTGGTGCCTGGTGGGAGTCTTGAGTTTTAGTCGCTCCGGCAATCGACAGATGGTAGACTCCCAACAGGGATGGTCTTCGCTGGTTAGGACTTGGGAGCAGCCGCAGGACGCAGCCTTATCGCAGCCAGTTCATCTCTTTAGATCTCTCTCAAGCACCCTCAGTACGCAGGAATCCTTAAAAGCAAAACTCTAACCGCCTTGTTCCAGGCTGGCCAGTTAGTGATCAGTAACTGTCATGCTAGCCTTGCTCAATCAGTTAACAGTTTCATTTATACCGTAGTCCGCTTCATATCGATTTTCAACTGAACTTTGTAAGTACATCACTAGTCGACTCTATGTGACATTGGAACCACACTTCAGCCAGGAGTTTATTTTTGTTATCGTTCCACAACATGGACTACGTCTCTTTTTATTTGTCAGTAAATTTAAAGGTGATGATGTTTTGAGCTTTGACCTAAGCCCTCGCCTGCCTCGGTTTCGTTCGTCTAATATTTACAGACGCCATATGCGAGCGTCAATGCTTGGTTTCCAATTCCATCAATTATGCGGCAATCGCCCACTGTCGTATACAGTACGTCTTCATAATAGGATACTCGGACCAATAAACTAAGCTATTTTATTACAAATAAACAAGCACGACAGGCTCGTCGGCCAGCATAATACTGAAAACAATGAGCAAAACACAAGGTGACAGCGAAACAACACGATCGATACGCCTCCCTTCAGAGGGATGACATATGCACCGATCACAATAACTTAATCTACACAGATGGATGATGATGGTGAACCACGGAACAAAGTATAACTAGCGAGTACTTGTACTGAACGTCCGCCGCAGCGCTGGCGTCGACCCCGGGCGCCGGTCGCGTCCCAAATAAATAGCACCTGCGGGCACCCTGTGACTGACGGCGCCGGCTGTCCGTAGAACGGCCGTCCGCAGTCTGCCGGCCGGAATGTGAGCCGCCCGACCGCCGCGAGCCCTCCCCAGGAACATGGAGCCACGTCCGCCCGCCGCGCGGCCCGCGCCGCCGCCGAGGTAGGACGGTGAAAGCGCAAAGCTGTAGTGCTCTGCTCAGTTGATAGATGTCGCTGCCGCGTGAGTTTCCGAGTGCGGCGCCGCTGGCCGCGATCACTCCTTACACCGGAATTTGCTGACTTGGGTGGCCAGGTTGAAGTAGTCCTCCGCACAGTTCCACGGGCAATGACACCTGGAAAGAGCGAGAACGTTGTTAGGCCACATATTCACAGCGTTGAGACTGGAGGGAAATCCAAACCACAGACTAGAAAGCCTCCAGTGCTCGACACATCACTGATCAGCCGATCGACAGAGCCCGTGGAAATCCCTTCCGACTAATGAGTCCCTCGGGTATGGAAACTTGTAAGTGACATGCCGACAATGCGATCTAAAACCGATTTATCAGCTCACAACCTCGTTACAAGTGTAGCATGCTTAGGTAGGTACTTTAACTTACATAGGTAAGTGATCAAACACTACATAACGATTCCCAACTTCCCCATTTCTACATTATCCTCACTCCGAGATGTTCAATTAATTAATCGACCTTTACTATTTGCATCACTGTGCTCGTCTGTCTGTCCTTACGTTTGCACGAAGCTGCTCTCGTCGTCGTAGGCCACGCCGAACACGCGGAAGCCGCAGATGCTGCCCAGGTTGCACTTGGGTAGCCGCGACCACCTCAGGTTGCTGACTTCCCGCGGCTGGCGCTGTAACGGGAGAGCGGGTGAGGTGAGGTCAGGTGGGGGTCGATATACCTGGATTGATTGGGGTAAGGCTGATGTTTCTGCGGGGTGGCCGGGTTATACGGTGTGCTCTGATTGACAGGTCGCTCAGGACAGCTGGGAGACAGGGGCCATCCACATAAAAGGGAGGGATTGTGCAATGCTGGAAAAAAAACATGGTCGATAGGAATTAAGTTTTGATGAATTGACATAAAATGAACACTAACAGAAAATCAATAATTGGGTCAAATATCGTGGAAGAGCTTTTATGGAAAAGTTAATTCCTGCATTTTCAACAGTGCGCTGTTCGTCACTGAACGACGAGCTTTGCACGGATAAACGTTGACCGCATTGACTGGACTACCTCCCGTGAGACGGTCCCACTTCCCGTCAGACCGGAGCGGCCGCCGCACGGGGCCGCCGGCGGTTAGACTGTGCCGCAGTGGCTGGCCGTTCGCGGTACAGCCTACCCCCCAGGGACGAGCCAGACCACAGCGCCGGCACGCGACGGCGTGTAAAAATAGATCGCCGAAACTGGGCCTGTCGCGCGGGAACGCACCCTCGGCCGTCTGCGTGAGTCGACTGTTGCTGAGCGGGAGGGTGTGGAGGGACCGGGGGTGCCATCCCTGGGTGCGCGGCGGCGGGGTCACTGGCCTCGCGCGGCCCAGAGACCGGTGTCTTTCCGACCGAAGGCGGGAGCGGATGACGGCTACTGAGGGTACCCAGGCGTCATCCCGCCGGCGGCTGACGACACCGACGGACGTTGCCAACCCTCCAAGGCTTCTCACGCGCTTTGGCGGCTGACGTAACGCGGGATCGGGAGGGATTGAACCGTGCGGCACGCATACGACAGTGAAAAAGCTGCCTCTGCCGACCCGGCCTTGTCAGTGCTCGCGGGTGGCACAGGAATTTGCGAGGAAGCTCGCGGGTAAATAAAAGGGACACTTTCGAGAAACTGAGCATGTTTCTAGGCCAGTTTAACTTTAAACAATCTAATGAAATGGGACCTTTTGGCATGCTGTTTTTTGACGAACGGACCGCTGATTATAAAAAACGGGGCCTCAATAAAATAACGAAGCTGATTTACAACTTTCTAGCAAAAGTTAAATATCTTAATTTGCACGGAAAAGGTCAGCTCAAGGAATTGCTCGTCAGACCAACATTAAGGTCTTTGATAACTGGGCAGGCCAATAGACAGGCAGACAAACGGCGAACATGCCAACTGTCTGACGACCGTTTTACCGCGGACACTGTACATACAGTGTACACTGCACATGTTTTTAAGCTCGGACACCACCGGGCCCTGCACCAGCCGGCACCACTCACCGCTAGGACTGCGCTGTCGGCCGAGCTGATCACCAGTGACACCACAGTCACCAGTAGTGCCGCCGCCACCAGATTCCTGCTCGAACTCCGCTGCATCTTGCGTTTCTGCTGTTCCTCCGTCTGTCTTCCCGAATGCCTGTCCGTCTGTATGAGCGTGTGCTTACGCTGTCGTGCGTACTGCTCCCTCGCCGCTGCACAGAGACGAGTCTTGCCGTGTCGCCGCCGACTGGCTGTTTATATAGAGCACTGTGAATGGGAGGCGGGGCGCGGAGGCGTGCGCTCATTGGCCGAGTGTGTGGCGCGCCGGCGGTGGCGCGCGCTCTCAATGACGAGGTGCCCCGCACCCGGCGACGAGCGATGACGCACGAGGTGCGCTACTGTCGCGCCCGGAGATGTGGAGCACGGTCACCCAGCTGATGAAACCACGGCTCTGCATGGAGACGGCTCAGGCCTTCTGAAGGACGGGTCGGCCCGACCAGGAGGTAGGGTACGACACTGACACGCATGGCTTGGAGCGCACCGTCAGAATCAGGCAATAGTGATATAAATCACATCACACATGCTGAACGTGGTTGTGACATTTTAAGTTCAATATCAAACGGCCTATCTTGCATCACTCCATCACTGCAATGATTTACGGAACGTATCAGCAGGATCCCCGTTTCAAACAAGCAAAAGTGGTTACTTGCATATATTATAAGTATCCGTGTTACATGCATATACAGAGCATACATGAGCACCCCGGTCCCTCATGCGAGACCAGAGCCTGACATACAGGTGGGTCGCCACAACTGGCCCCACCGCCCGCGGCTCTGGGACCCAACTAAGTACCATTCCGCTACTGAGACAGCCGCATGTCGAGCACATCTGACCGGGCACGCTCACTGAGGTAGGCGGTGCAGTTTCAGAGACACAGCTAGATCGGCTGAGATAGCGAGCGCCGGGGGTTCCCAACTGTGTATCACGATGGGGGATCTTAGCTGGCGTCTGTGCCGTCGCACCGCCTGTATTGGAGCGCCCATTGGTCAGCTATGCTCGACTCTCGGCCGGCCGGGTCACAGCCAGTCCGGCGCGGGTTACCGGTCACTGTCCCGGGGTCAGGGACGCCGGGGCATATCGTTCAGATCACTGGGCCACGCCGGCCCACCGGCCGCGACGGGCGGAGCGTCGCCGGTCCTCGGACGCACTTCGTCGGTCATACACTGTCAGACAGTTCACAGAGCGATACATGGACTCTCATGGATACACCGGCCGAGACCACACACATGACATAGGCCGCCGGCTGATGGGTAAAACTTCCCACCGACCCGCAGGTGGCAGAAGTTCAAGGAAGT